TACAGTTTGCAAGCCACAAAAGATGGTGTCACAGAACTTCAACATGAATTGGCTACATTGTGGTTATGTATAAAGTATAGTCTTTGCATTCAGTAAACATGGTACAAAGCATATAGCTTCTATGGTGGATGAACCAGGTCACTGTCTCCAAGACAGTTATTAAAGAGATAATGGCCTGTCTTTTTCCTAAAGTGTGTTACAGAAGTTACTAACACATTGTTCAAGAGAATAAAAGGTTCCTGTGAGAACTTAAGAATTTCTTCTTTAGTAGAAACTCTTGCATGACTCACTGTTCTGGCCTTGGTTACTTCAATCAGTCTCTGTTCTGAGTGGTAGCTTCTGTCCTCATCTCTGAATCTGCTGGTGTGATCCAATCAATCACCCTTATTGCTGAAGTTGCAGCAGCAAAATAGCTTAGCTTTAGAAAAAGCTCTTCAACCTAAACAGTGACTGACATAAAAAATGTATTGAGGGCTGGGAATTTGTAAGGAAGTGTCCCTCTTTTTTTAAAAAAAAAAAAGTTTGAAAACCCCCACGGAATATTATCTGTAAGATGAAGGTTCCCTAGTTCTTCTTTTTTTGCTTGCAAAAAAGGTTTTTGCCCACCAGAGTTTTTTACCCACCAGTGTGCACATTGTAATGGTACGTGGGAATGACCTTGGAGGAAGAATGCCAGCCTAAACAGTAGTCTCACATATGGTTTACACATACGTACTGATGCCATAATCACAAAGGTATCTTCAATGCATTCTCCATGGTATATCCTTAGAATAGTGATGTCACCGAGTAGTTAATTAAGAAAAGTTTGCAGGAACTCCCTGTGTGAATTTATCTGTCATTGGTATAACAGTCATCAATATATCTTTGAATATGTTCTTGAAGTCCTGTGGTGAGCAAAGCTTTTTGGCCATGAGATTTTATCACAGGTGGCAGGCAAAACAGGAAGAGGGACCAGTTCTTTTTGCCAGCATCAAGCTTGTTCATATACCACACTAAACCTTAGCTTGTCTAGTCATATTTTATCGAACAAGCCTGGTTTGTGCATTACATTCAATCACAATTTCAAGTCACAGAGATTTCAAATAAAGCTCACACTGCAGCTTACTGTGATTTATAAATCCAGCCAATATGATTGCTATGCAGGTGTTGATGTGAAACTGATAGAGCCGAAGTGGATATCAATGAGAATATATTCTTTTTTCCAGAGCAAATCGGAACCTTCCCAGTTTGGCCTCCATTTTTGCCTTGCTTGGTCTTTTCTTTTTCTGGGGTGCTGCTTGGTGCAAGGAGGGATATATTACTCAGTGTTACTCCCTATGGCCCATTTTCCCTTTCCAATTAATTAAGGCTTAGCTCAATTGCAGGCAGGGAGCCAGCTTGGCAGACATGCTAGATTGCAGTCTGTGATGAGCACTGTTGGATGAATGGTGTTGAGCTGTGGCCAGCATCTCTGCCTGAAGCTTTGTGTAGTTCCTGAGGAAGATCCTGGATCCCTCCCAGAACTGTGGAAAAATGAGATTGTTATTTGAGCATATTGGTATGTCTCTAGTCGATCTCTCTGCAAGTGTCAGAGGAGCCTCTAGCACACTGCAGTTGGGACATTATATTCAAGGCTGCATAGTTTTTATTAATTGGCAAAAAATGTACTCATGACACTTTCTTACTTAATCCTTTGCAATCACATAAGGGCCTGTGCTTTATAATGTACTCCTAGAGGGCTTTCACAAGCTCATTTAGCAAGAATTAATAATATCACACATTTTGTAGCTTATTATTTTTAATTTTCATAGTTCTTAGCTTTGCAATTTACAAACAAAAGAAGTGCTTACATTTACACAGAGCAAAGAAGAAATAGCTAAAATATAGTCCATGTTCTGATACTGAAAAAACTTTGCTTCACAGTACATTAAACATTCCAGTATTCTAGGAAACTCCAGTTTTTTAACATGGCCATCCTCATCATACATCGCTGTGGATGCTGCAGGATGTGGGTCTCTTATCTTTGGAAAATTATTTTGGTTCATCATATGTGTGGTGTGTGTGTGTGTAAAATGTACCAATCCAGAAGCTTGTGAAGCAGCCTTCCAAATCTGCAGGTGATATATGTAATAATTTCTCTCTCCTGAACTTGCTAGATGCACTTTTTCATTCTGAAATTATTTGTGGATGCGTAGAGTTGTGCTTTCTGCAATTGATTCCTTTCTGATACAGTTCCCAGAATTAAGATGAAAGAGCTCTGTTTGGTTGGGCAGAAGGCCCTCTAGTCTAGAATTTATTTTATACAGTGGCATTTGAAAGGCTCAGAAGCCTGCACTGGAGGACAATACAGGTAATCTTCAATTTAGAACCATAGTTGGACTGGACTACCTCTGTTAGGTGAGATAGTTGTTAAGTGAGTCATCCTACAACGATTTCTAATTTTATGAACTTTTTGCTGCAGTTGTTAAGCAAATCACATGATTGTTAAGCAAATCTGACCTTGCTTGTTGGAACCCCTCCCCCCCTCCCCAGGGGGAGATCGCAAATGACAATCATGTGACCCCAGGATGCTGCAAATGTTTACTCGCTCCAATGAAAGAGGCCTACTTCATATCCAGTCTGCCAAAGAATTTTGGCTGGCAGGGATCCAGGAGAAGAATCTGGTCCTTTCCCTCTAAAATATTCTCTGTCTGCAAGTGAAGTTGGCCCCCACATTCCTGGCCTTCTGGAAGAGTGGCTGGTTTGGCCCCCCGATAGTGGCATGTTGTGGGTGACTTGACAGAGTAGATCCTCACCTGTATATCACCTGTTCCCTTGGTTTTTACTTTCTTATGTAATCTTCTTAATTTTAATTGTTTTCCATTATCTTTATTACCTTTTTTATCATTTTGTAAGCCACCTAGAATCACTGCAACAGCGAGATGGGTGGCACATAAATTTAATAAATAAAAAATAACATGAATGCATGCCAGTCTAGGAGCATCCAAATCACAAGTGTGTGACCATGGGAATGCTGCAATGGTAATTAAGTATTAGCATTAGTCACCTGTTTTAGCACTATCGTAGTTGCCATTTGTAGCCTCCAATCACTCCCATTCCCTTTTAAATGTCCAAATTGTCAGCCATTCCTTGGTGGTGAATTCCACATTTTAAGTATGCACTACAGTTTGTTTTTAAAAAAACCAATCTTAATGGTCCCAAATCTGTCTGCAATTCCTTTAGTTATGCTGTCTGAGAATTCCGGAGATTTTCATGCCATGTGATTCTCAAGGGCGCAACATTGGATAAATCTTCCTGAGTTTGTCCTGTAACTTGCCTTTACCCAGGATGCACGGTCTGAAACCAAATTGGTCTTTTGTAGAGATAAACACCTGCTAAACCCTTGGACATTTTGAAGGAGATTCAAAAAGGGTCAAAAACAGATATGTGCCAGAAATAATTAGGATAAAGCAGAGTGGGGAATGTGGGTGTAAGGGGGTAGAAAATTTCTCTGGCAGCCTGTTGTGATTTACTTAGCACATTGATTAATCGCCCTCGAGCATTCTACTCCTAATGCAAAAACTAGGGTCCTCTTTAATGGTTTATAGAGGAATGTCAGCCTTGGATTATAACCTTGTTGCTTGGCAATGCCTAATACAAAGGTAGCTAATTAACCAAGGCTTGTTTTCTCTCTCCTCATGGTCATATAGTTTTGATTGTCTGGGAACCTGGCTGTGAGGATCCCTTTTCTCTTTTGATGTCTGGCTGATGCAAGGGATTAACATTCTGGCCTCCTTTCTCTCTCTGCCCCCAAGACACTGAACTGAATCCAATAGCATTTTATTTTTTTTTTGCTGAAAGAGCTGCAGTAAATTTGGCAAGAAGGCAGGGTGTTCACACACTTCTACAGTGTGCTATAGTGTAGGGGAGAGGAAGACAGAATGGGGACAAATCCCTGTGTTTTGCCTTTGTAATAGGGAGCAGGTTCCACTCAGAGTTTAACAGGTGTCCTAAAAGTATTGCTGAGAAGATATGCACGGAGTGTACCTCTGTGTTGAGAACTTTCCTTTTTCTCTCTTTGTTCACTGGAGATATTTAAGAAAAGATTAGTCAGCTGTTTGTATGGAATGATATAGGTCTGTGATGGCGAACCTATGGCACATGTGCCGGAAGTGGCATTCAGATCCATCTCTCAGGGCACGCCAGCTGTTGCCCACTGCTTTTCTGGGTTCCAGCATGCATAGCACATGTGTGCAGCCAGCTGCTCTTCATGTGTGCATGCACGCCAGAAACAGGAAGACCAGGTGACCTGCGCGTATGCACACACTGGAAACTGAAGCTCAGCTTCCCGGCATGCACATGAATGCCGGGGAGCTGCTCTTCTGGTTTCTGGTGCTCCCACATACACACTCCTGTTTTGGCACTCGGTGCCAAAAAGGTTTGTCAACACTGGTATAGGTTCTCCTGCCTTGGGCAGGAGGTTGGACTAGAAGACCTCTCAGCTCCCTTCCAACTCTGTTATTCTGTAATTCTGTAAAACCAGATAATGGCTTAAAGAACAGAGTATTTTGCTTGCATTGAATTTCAGTTTCAGACAAAACCCATAAAAATTACATGTAGGAGGTTTAGGATCTCTAACCCAACTATTTGCAAATTTTGCAAGTTGAAAAGGGTTAGTATATTTGATAGTACCTTAAAAAATCAATATAGCAGGCATTTTTATTAAGGAAAATCTAATTAAGTGATTTGGTATTGTAGTGTATGTTCCTTAAACAACCATATCTGGGTTGCAGAAATCCAAATGACCAATAAATGGCAACAACTATTTCCAGAAATAAAAATGATAGTAATAATGATAATAATATAAAAATAACAATTAATAATTATAATTAATTAATAGAGAGAAAAGAAAAACAATAAAAAACTCAAAGACAGACTCAATGGATCACCAAGTCTTTTTCTGCCATCAGTTTTCTATCTTTCTATGTTTCAGACATCTCCTGACAGAATGGATTTTTGAAGTACAAGTATAATAGCTCAGATTTTTCAATTATTATGCACTTTCTCAGAATTTTAAAGAGAGGAGTGGGCAACCTAAGAGCTTAGGGCCCTTGTGAGACCATCTGATTGTTTTTGGAGGGGAGGATCAACTTTGACCATCATCCCTAGAAATATGCGAGTCCCCTGACCATGCAAAAATTGTATTCCCTGCTTAAAGAGGAGATAGAAACAGCTTGCCGCTTCTTTTTGTAACATAAATCCATTAGTTATGAATAGATCTTCATTTTCAAATGAATTTCCTCTCTCTCCCTCTTCTCCTTCAAGAGCCAAATCTGCTAGGTGCTGAAAGGAAGCAAGATGCAGAGACAGAGACTGCTTTCAACCCCTAATCTTGTGGAAGTGAAGTGCTGGTTCATGTTAATTGAAAAGTTTAAGGGATGGATGCTTATAAAGCTTTGGGCACTAATGTTATTTGTACACTAAAATGATTTGTTTTTTCTTGGCTGAACATCAAACAAAACGTGATGTAGGAGGCAAGGTGCATTTCTCAATGTTCTTAATTTCTTTTACTTATTTGCATGCAATTACGAAGGACTCTGAAATTAAGATGTAACAGAAGGAAGACATTTTATTCTCCCAATCCTTTTTCTGGGGGCTGTTTCCTTTGCCACAATTTTTCTCTCTTATTATTCTCCCCTGTTACTTTTTTCCTGTAATGGCAGAAACTTTCCAACAAGCTGTTTTCCACACCAAAACCCTGCTCCTCCCAGTTGTTTTCCTTTCATCAAAAGGAATAGTGTAGCTTATTTTCCTCTGCTGCAGTTCTGATCAAAGTGGAATTATTCTAGAATTGCTTTAAAATAAAGCAGTCACTTCCCCTGCCGAATCTGTAAAAAATATATTTGATGCATCTCATGTTAGATTTATATTGGCTTTTAGATTAACAGTTCAAATCTATGTTAGGCCTTTTAGCTACACAGTCTCTAAATGGTGTTACATCTGTCACCCAAGCATAATTAATTAATTACTTCTTTTATATCTTTTCATCCCTCCTTCATTACTTTATAACTAACTCAAGGTGGCAAACATACTTAATACTCCTTCCTCTTCCTATTTTCACCACCACAATAACCCTGTGAGTTGGGTTGGGTGAAAGAGAGTGACTGGCTGAAAGTCACCCAGCTGGCTTTCATGTCTAGGCAGGACTAGAATTCATAGTCTACTGGTTTCTAGGCCAGCATCTTATCCTTTACACCAAACTGGCTCTCCTATGCAGAATATTTATGAAGGGATCTTCCTCACAATTAGTTCAATGAGCTTTCCTCCGATCCTTAAATCATAAGAAAAATAATTCGACAAAAACTGTGCTGCTACCACAGTTACTATTAAAACCTTAGCCATAAGGTGGTTAGTACTATTGCTCTCCCACAAAGTAATGAAGGGTAGTTCCAGGGCAGTAATGAATAGATTATTAGTCATTATTTCTTGTCCCATCCATTATCAGCAACCAGGAGAAAAACCAGCTTCTATTTACTCTCCCTCAATGGGTGGCGGACCAGAGTTAGGAATTTGGGTCTCTGTTTTCATTATTTATTTAACCTTAATTTTTTTAATGGTTGCACACTCTTTCCAATCAGATGATGATCTGCCAAGAGAGGTCCCTGAAAAATGTTAAACTTCTTCATGCTGCAAAAAGCAGGAAATTCAAATGAACCTTGGTAGTACAGGGGTTTAAGGCACCCTGTTATTAAGCTGGTTATTAAGACCAGCTGCCTGCAATTACTGCAGGGTTCAAATCTCACCAAGGCTCAAGGTTGACTCAGCCTTCCATCCTTTCTAAGGTAGGTGAAATGAGGACCCAGTTTGTGGGGGCAATAAACTGACTTTGTATAAATATACAAAAGGATGAAGGCTATTGCTGAGCACATTGTAAGCCGCCCTGAGTCTTCGGAGAAGGGCGGCATATAAATCAAATTAAAAAAAAAAAAAAAAAAACCCTGAAAGTGAATTCATTCTCAAAGCGTGAATCCATATTTAACAGAAGTAGTACTACTTGCATGCAAGAGGAAGACCTGGATGGGGAGGAGGGAAGGGTAAAACATACTGTCTTGCAGAAGGACCAAACATATTTGGTTTGGGGGAAAGGCTCAAGCCAGGAGCCCAGACAAAGGCAGAAGAGCAGAAGAGCAAGCTGACCCTTTTTTGGGGGGGAAAAAAAAATGGGAGGAGCACATTACAACATTTTGGTACCTGTTCCACTTGTTCAAAATGCTAAAATTAATAATATTGAAGTAAATAGTAATAGCAAAACTTATGTAATAAGTCTAAAATTGAGAGGTCATAGAAATATGAGCTACATGCCATCCTTACATTCTGGCATATATTTTAAGGAAAGACCGTCTTTTTCGTATTTTAGAAATGTTTGTTTATCATCCCACGTACCTTGGGACTGAGCTGGGTGGAGTGCGGTGATGTCGTAAAGAAATGTTGCAGGTACATGGATAAATGTTGAAATTCTGGGATGTATTCAGGGTGTATGAACTTTGATCTTCAAAAATATGGTATATACATTTTGATACTTGCTTCATCTGACATCTCCTTGGTCTGTTTGCAGAAAAAAGATAAAATCGTGCCTCTTTGTAAGTGTAAGTTAGTTCTGTGCAGCTTTAGAAGAGCAGTAAGAAAAGCAGCCGGGGGAAGGGAATGAATTTTATAAAATTATGAATAACATGGAGAGAGTATAAAACATGATAAGCTTGCTTCATTTTAATCATGATTGTGTCTCTCTGTGTGGGTAGTTTGGCATATCGTGTGAACACATGTATGATTTGGTGCTTCACTATATTAGGCAATCTCATAAAATATATTAATTAAATATCCTGATAATATGTTTTCTGTGAGATCAATCAGCATATGACGGAAGTCAATCCCATTAAGTTACATTGGGGCAACAAAATAAACATGGCTGTAATTACAGAAAATTAGTATTGATATGGATGTTTTTCTTAAAAGAAATAGAAGCTACTTCAAATTGCAGATGAGAGTGGATTTAACTATTTCCCACCCAATTGGATTCCCCATTCTAGGTGCTCCAGATAGTTCTCGACTTACGACCAGTTGTCTAACAACCGTTCAAAGTTAGAATGGACTCCAAAAAAGTTATTTGTAATCTAGTTTCAAAGTTCTGATGCATGCTCCCCTCCATGGTCACATGACTGCATTCTGGCAATCAAACTGCTTTTATGGGTATTTGCAATGTTCCATAATCCAAGTGACTGCAATTTACTGCAACTGCCCCATAGCGAACAATGGTTTGCTTAATAACCTTGATGTTTGCTTTACAACCTTCACAGTTGCTTAACAAACTCTGCAAAAAAGTCATTAGATCAGGTCTGGTCATGACTTATGACTAAATTGTGGGCTCAATTATGGTTGTAAGTCAAGGACTGCCTGTATTTGCTTTGGAAAGAAATCAGCTCCTGGCTCTGCAGGTCCTTTGCACTTGATGCAAATAGCATTCTCATGGAGTATATACATCAGAATTATAAATTTAGTGTCGACAAAGGACTTATTATCTTCTCTTCGTTGCACTTTTCTAAGCCAGATCATCTCATCCCATTCCAAGACTGTTTAATACTTCAAAGAAGCCCACAAGTCTTGTTTGTACTACTATTATTTCACCATTTAGGGACCAACAAGTTTTTAAAAATGCAGCGAATGGAGAATACAGAATAACACACATATTGGTTTAGCATCTCTGCCCTTGCTCCCAGTAAAAGCAAAAACAGGTAGGGATTGAAGTATTTTCAGAAGAAAGTAGCACAAGAAATGTTAACGCCATGATAAGACTGATAAAAAAATGAATTTCTAATTTTTTTAGAGGCTTAAAATACAGATATTCATCCATGGTACAGAATTCATAAGCTGCTGTGTATGCATGTTGTCAAGCAACAAGGAAAAAGGTTTTTGAACTGAATTTCTGATAGCCTACGGCACAGTCTTCCTCAACATAGTGACTTATGAATTGAAGGACCATGGCTGAAGTACTGTATTAGTTTTATTTACTGCTAGATTTATTTAGTGCCCATGCCTCAGCATATATACTCCTGGGATGGTCCACAATAGAATAAAAATAATTTTAAAAAACCAAAATTCATCCTGCATAAAATTATTAGCAAAACAAAGTAAACAGCAGATGAAACACAGCTGAGAGGTGATAAAGGTGATCAATATGTTGGTTTACAAAGGTTAAAAGCCTGGAAGGCTCAAAAATCCTATTTATATTAAATGCCTCAGGAAGCGTCAGGAAGCCTCCCCAAAGGTGATGGTAGGTCCAGGAGGATTCCTAAGACTTGGGGCTCAAGTTCAGAGGCATCTTCTTTGCTTGATACCTGCTTCTCCTGAGCCACGAAATGTCTTTGCATCCCCCTTCTCTGCCCTGATGCTCTTCCGATGGATGGCATTTGTATTCCTGTAATGGAATTTCATCTTGCACAGAAGATAGAGAAAGGCTGTTTTGATTCTGATACACTGGGTCACACTTCCCCCGCATTTAACAGATGCAGTGTAATATATCTTCCTAATATGCTAAGCTTTGATCTGAATTCTGTTTCTGTCTATTTTTCTAAGAAAGGTAAAGTGGGCCATTATTCTTCATTCATTAAATAGTAATGAAGTGAAAGAGCAGCCTCGGTGAGCAAGGAGAATAAGTGCCAAAGAAAATTTTAGAGAATTAGGGTTGCATTTGGGGTTTCACCTGTACTTTTGACCTATGACCTTTTATTTTTAATGGGGAGTAAGTGGAAGCTAGGGTTTCTTCTTCTTTTTGTGCCTTCAAGTCATATTGACTGTGGGCAACTGCCTGCAGTAGTCCCTGCAGATTTTTTTGGCAAGTTATTTCAGAAGTGGTTTGCCATTGTCTCCTTCCTACACCTGAGAGAAGGTGAGTGACCGAGGATTAGCCAGCTTTGTGTCTAAGGCAGGATTAGAACTCATGATTTCCTGGTTTTCTAGCCTATTGCCTTAATTTTTTATTTTTATTTGTTTGTCAGGAACGTATTAGGTAATATATATAAGTATAAGCATGAATTGAATACATAAAATAGATACAAATAGATGAAACATTAGGACAGGAATGGTAGGAATGCTGGTGTTCTTATGCACACCACTTACAGACCTCTTAGGAATGGGGTGAGGTCAACATGGCATAGGGCCTAGCTATCTTCGAGACCGCCTGCTGCCACCGACGACCTCCCATCGACCCGTGCGCTCCCACAGAGAGGGCCTCCTCGGGGTGCCATCAGCCAAACAGTGCAGGCTGGTGACCCCCAGGGGGAGGGCCTTCTCTGTGGGGGCACCTACCCTCTGGAATCAATTGCCTCCAGAGATAAGGAGAATCCAAGACCTCAGTGCCTTCCGCCGTGCCCTTAAAACCTTCCTTTTCCAGCAAGCCGGGCTGGCCTAATTGTTTAAGTGTTTTTAAGTGTTTTGTTTATTGTTTTTAATTAATGGGGCCAAATTTATATATGTATATTTTAACTGTATTTTAATATTTGTACTTGATGTTTTTACTTGGCTGTTCACCGCCCTGAGTCCTCAGGGAGAAGGGCGGTATACAAATTCAAAATAAATAAATAAATAAATAAACAGCAGACAGTCTTAGATTAAAATTTTGGGGGTCTTAGTCTTAGATTAAAATCACTACACCAAAGTCTCTCTGGAAGTTAAATTAAAGGTTTTTATCCAATAACATTGTACAACTATTCTCTATACATGCTCAGAAACACTTCTTTTAAAAAATAATAATAATACAAACCGCTAGAAAATGCCCTAATTTTGATGGCATGAGGTATTAACTCCCATCCCAGAGCCTTTTATATCAGATATCCAACACTGACAACTTTAAGATCTCTGGACTTCAACTCTCACCTCCACCACCAATTGCGGAATTCTGGGAGTTGAAATCCAAAAGTCTTGACACTCCTGATTTGGGGTGTATGTATGATCTGCAACTCTCAGCAATAGCCATGTTAACGGGGGGATTTTTTAAAAAATTTAATTATTTATTTATTTATATCAAAGATATAATTTCAAAAGATACATTGCTAAATGAATGCTATGTAAGTAATGTGCAATATAATATTAGTAAAAGATTAACTATAGTCCAAGTTCCTTACCATTGGTAGTGCCTTGTATTCTGAGCTGGGCTGCCCTGTAATCTCTTTTTTTCTTCCCATTTTTTGCCTTTTCTTAGATATCCTCCTAGATGATATTGTCCTTACCCACTCACTGTTTTTGCCCACGGAGCAGTTCCTACATCAGCTGTACCAACAATATCCTTCCTGCAGACTTTTGGAGAAGTCCCTTTAAGAGGAGAAGGATTGGGGGGAAAAATCCATTTCACTTTTCATGTTTTCATATTCTTGGATCTTCTTGTATTTTGTTATTCTACAGGGCGTTGTTGCTTAAGTGGTTAATTTCGTAAGAATTTCAGCTATAATTTTCATTTTTAAAGCATATTTGTAGTTATTATGAATTGAAAATATATGAGCAGCACCCGGTGAAATATTTGGAGTCATTAAATGTGGTACTATTGCCCATAGCTGTATGATTTCTGTATCCCTTGACCTTGGCAAACATAGCCAGAAGCTGCTGAAGAAATGATGCTAAATGAGTTACATAAAAGAGTGATTAGCATTTTAAAAAGGCAGTTGATCTCTAGGAAGCTTATTGAAAAATCTTATGGCCTTTAAAAATTGGAATAATACTTTGTAAGAGACAATTGACCTTTTAAAAGTTTATTCTGTTAGCGAATCACTAAAAAGTTATATGATACAGTATTACCGTCCTCCTTTTGTTTTAATTGGCTGTTGCTTAAGGAGAACAGGAAAATTCTGATACAATGATGTAGTGCCACCTTTTCTTTTAATTCCACAAGATTCGTAAAATCTGGGCTGCACGTGCCCTTTTAGCCCTTTCTGCAGTTTATCCTTAAGAGACTGCTATCACCATAAACAATTCAATTATGCTTGTATTTAGATATAGCTTTCACTCTATTCAATAAAGTTTTCTTCTTATGAAACTAGTGAGGGATTGTCACTTTAATCTTTAGAAGACAATATTTGTAGCTCTCGGTTGAAACGAGGTGCTCCCTGAGCTTGGTTGTTTACCTGCAGACATTTCATTACCCATCTGAGTAACATCTTCAGTATTTGTTATCTTCAGTGTTTGAAATAAAATATTCAAGCCTTTACAGAAGTATTCTGAAACTATTCCACTCACACCATTCCCATTTATAAGAAACATTTCTGGACATGGAATGCTCACAACACAATTCTTATGAACTTAACAGTAACAGAGTTGGAAGGGAGATCATCTAATCCAGAGATGGCTAACCTTTTTGCCATCACATGCCAAAAGCGGGGGGAGCGCGGGGGGTCACACGCATGTGTGCCCACACCCAAAATTCTATGCGCCCTGCTCCTCCTGCGTATGTGTGCGCACCCCCCTGCTCCCCCCGCTTTTGGCACGTAATGGCCCAGTGGGCCCGGTAGGCCTGTTTTTCACCCTCCACAGGCTCCAGAGGCTTTCTAGGAGCCTGGGGAGGGTGAAAACAGCCTTTCCCACTGCCCGGAGGCCGGAAATGGCCCATTTGCCAATTTCCGGTGAGACAGGAAGGCCTGTTTTTCACTCTCCCCAGGCTCCAAGGCCTTTCTAGGAGCCTGGGGAGAGCAAAAACGGCCTTCCCCACCCCCCTAGAAGTCCTCCGGAGGCCAGAAACAGCCCATTTCCAAACTCTCGGTGGGCCCAGAAGGCCCAAAAATCAGATGGCTGGTGCACACATGCGCACCAGAGCTGTGCTCTTGTGCCCACCAATATGGCTCTGTGTGTCACCTGTGGCACGCATGCCATAGGTTCGCCATCACGGATCTAGTCCAACCCTCCGCTCATGCAGGAGACCTATACTAGGGATTCTAACATTTTAAATGGAAATTGGGAGTTTTAAATTCAAAATGTTCAGAATTTTAAATCTTATGTATGTCTTTACAGTTTTGTGATTATTTGGAATATATACAGTATAAACTGACACATTAAATTAAGATCAACAGGCTTCTTATGCAAAATTCCTTTGGTTTTTCTCATTACCATCTGGATTCAGATTAATTCCACTTCATTCCCAGACCTGTCATTTGGAATACTTTGTCCCTTCTAATTATTCGTTCTTTCATGCTGTGGGTTTACCTTAACCTGCCTTTGCTACCTTCATGACGGCGTCAGCAATCCCGTCCCCACCATGCTGGAAAGAAGATGAGGCTGTGCACCGGAAACGAGCAGTTTTGATCATTTTACTGCACTTTCTTGAAACATTCAAGGGGATTCTGCAAGAAGAAGAGAAGGCTGGCAAAGTCATCAAGGTATTACAGAGCTTTTCTTGCTCTGCTTTCATGAGAATGAACTAATTAAGAAATAAATATGGCTGTTTTACAAGATCCCAATCATTGTTTTTCTAAACATTATTTCATATGTCTAAGGAGGCAAGTCTTCGTGGCTAGCTAGATATACTGTTGGGCAGTATTTGCTATTCCTTTGTTTAGGCACTTCAATGTTATTTTGGCCCAAGCACCTTTCTCTTCACTTTCAGGATCTGTATTTGCTGATCATGAAAGATGCATCCCTCTACCACAAACTGGAAGATGAAATCCTGAAGTTACATCAACTTGTGGACACAGTGGAACTCAAGTAAGTTAAAAATGGCAACATGGATGGGGGAGTTTTGGTTCCCATTTGGACTTAATCCAAGTAAGTCAGAGTAACGGTGATTATAGAAGCCTTTTCATATCATTTTTTATTCTGAATGCAGTTAAACTCTCCTGGGTTAAAGTGATTCATAATATCGGGGTCTTCCTGGATTCTAACCTCATATTTTGGGATCAGGTGAAAGCTGTGTCTATAACCTTTGCACAGTTATATCTTGTATGCTAGTTACAATCTTATCTCGATCTAAAAGCTCGTTTTACCTTTGTACCTTGTCTAGACTACTGCTATGCATATTACATGAGATTGCCCTTGAAAATCACTTGGAAACCAACTGTTCCAAAATGGAATGGCTTGAATGATGAGGGTGCTGCTAGGGATTTAGTCTACTGTAGGAGCTTCACAGGCTACCTGCTGTGGGTAGTTGTCATTTTTAAAGTTCTCCTGATTGGGTAGTTACATACTTCAGGAGCATCTTACTCCCAGGAAGGAGATTAAACATTGCCATTTCTAACTTGGAATCAATTATTTCTCAATTTGCATGATTTAACTTTGATAACCATAGATTCAGATCTTGAAGCTGCTGTTGGATCTATTGGAAAATGGGACATAGATGCATGTCGCATTGGCTGAATTTGCATAACAGCACTAGGTTAAAATGTGATTGGATGCTTTGTAGCTTAGTGAATTGTGTCAGTGTTTCCCCAAAAATAAGACCCTGTCTTATTTTTTTTGAATCCTGAAATAAGCGCTTGGCCTTATTGCCATGCGCTGAAAAGCCCGATTGGGCTTATTATCAGGGGGTATCTTATTTTGGGGGTAACAGGGTAGCTATTTTGGAGGATGTAGTTACTTCTCTTCTGTCTTCTAAATCTTGCCATCTGGTTACAGAGTGACTGAAGAAACCCAACCACCCAGCAAGCAGGTCAAGCCTTTATTCAGACATTTTCGCCGCATAGATTCATGTCTTCAAACTCGGGTTGCTTTCCGTGGATCTGATGAAAGTAAGTAATAAAGAGTATGCTTGACAGTGGGGTGGAAGGGAGAATAAAATTAAACTTTTGTTTATAGGAACGGAATGAGGATAGTGATACAATTATCATCCTACCATTGGCAAAAATTCACAAATGCACACAAGCCCTTGAATAAATTAGACAGGATTTGCTGTTCAACTTTTCCAGACCAGAATGTCTACTCGGAATGTTTAGAATGTGGTTTGGCATTCTCTCAAAATTATTGTTATGGCGGAATTTGTGCATTTCCAGTTCTGTGTCTCCCAAGAAAAATGTCACAATGACATTTGTTTTCTTTTCTGCCTTCTCTATTGCAGCCTTTTCAAAGTTCAGAAAATAAGAGATTAGAGAAAAGGGGGCGGGGGGAGTAAAAGCAGTCAAGTTAATTTAAGGTACAGTTTGTCAATCTTGCTGCTTGAGGAATTCTCAGGGTTGAAACTGACACATCTCAAAAGTTGCCAAGTTTGGAAAACACTGCATTAATGCCCTTTTTCACTGGCTCCAGTTCTTCTGTCTTTGCAGGAAAAAGGTGTGCCAAATGAAGCAGAAACAAGTTTTTCTTCATACTACAGCATAAGAATTTGGCATGATAACATAGGAATGAGCTGAGCTAAAAATTAAATCCAGATAAGATTTTAAAAATTAAAAATATCTCAGTAATCATTCAGCAGCATCAAGTTAGGTTTGTAAGATATTAACGGGGCAGGAACAAACAGGGACACTGATGCTATATTTTCCAGGGATTCACGTGCATCATAAATTGGGCTTTCCTACCAGTTGAAATTTCAAAGTCTCACACAAATCAGATTATAGAAGTCTAACTTGAGATGCCATGAATGATGTCTCAAGGTCTGTATTTAAAGGGGTAAGAGAGGGAAGCAAGCAGCATCTTGTCATTGTCTTAGATATAGTTTTGCAGATGAGTGATGAAACCAGGAAACTCCTTAATCTATCTAGAAGGAATAGAATTCCACCAGTGTTGACTGTTCCTGCTGTTTCCATATTGCAGGACCAACATTACAGGCTTTTCCAAATGCAACATGTTGGCTTGATCACATCTAGTCCCTAGCCGTGGCCAGAGTCTCAGAGACACTGATAGGATTCAAGCCATCATTGAAGTCCCTTGCTATTCCACGTTTCAGGAGTTTGGTTGTCTCCCCTTTTTTCTAGTCTTCTGCCGAGTTTATATGCCAGACCACTCCTACGTCACCATCCGGAGCCGCCTCTCAGCCTCTGTGCAGGACATCCTCACGTCAGTGACCGAGAAACTTCAATATTCTGATGAACAGCCTACACGGGAGGAAGCTCTCATTCTGGTGGCTGTTACATCATCAGGAGGTATCTGTCCATCAGGAAGAATGATAGTGATACCTCTGTGGTTTGGGTTATCCTTCTGCAATCTTGAAACTCAAAAACTTTAGAAAAGAAAAGGTCAAGAGGGAAAAAGCACAACAAGTTGTAGTTACTATTACATCTTACTGCCACCTTTTTCATTGTCTCAATAGCAGGTTCATTTTGCTCCTGGTCAAAATGAAGCACATTTAGGTTTTCTTGTTTGTTGCACCAGAATGAGGCTTAAGAAGAAGGTAGTAAACTTACCTAGTGCTTGGGGTCACATAGTACGCAGGGAAATGTCCATAAGTGCAGCAAAACAGAGTAGTGAATTCATGAATAATTAATTAATTATTCAATAAAGTAAGTTGAAATAGAAGATAGTTCTTTTTTCCAGTTTAACATTTTATTGAGTTATAAAATATTGTAAAATACAAAAGTAAATAGAAAAACAGTGGGGAGGAAAAGAGGGAAGAGAAGTGAGGAAGGATAAGAAAAAAAAAATAAAGCATTGACTTCTGACACTCTCTGTTGTAGTAAAATAAGGCATTAACATCAAATCACAATTTTTTGCTTTTTCATAATATGAACAAGCCATTTCTGTAAAAATCTATCAATCTACCCGGAAAAACCCTAAATTAAAGTTTTATTCTTTTCCACTTCAAGCATGAAGTTCAGAAATGGTCTCCATGTGAAAACAAAAGTACTTATGTTCATTTCTTTAATCAAAGTAGTCAATTTTGCCATTTCGGCTAACTCCATTACCTTCTGCAACCATTCGTCCATAGTAGAAATCAAAGTATCCTTCCATTTTGGTGCATACAATTGTCTTGCTGCTGTCAAGATATATAATAACAATGTGAAATAGAAGATAGTTCTGTTGTATGCTGTTCCTTTGTCTGCTTTGTGGAAGGGTTAATGAGTGAAAGTCCTTCTGCCTAGAGTTTGATTTTAAGGACTGGGAAAGTCTCAACACTTACGTCTAAAGCCAAATACTAATAAATGGTGTCCTATGCCCAGCCAATTGTAACTCTCCAGGGTGTTCAGTTACACAAGATAGGACAAATGGTGTTTTTTTTGGGGGGGGGGAGGTCTTACCTTAGGCATTCCAGATGTGATTGCACTGTGAGAAACTCCACTGGTGCCAGATGTCTCAAAAAAGTGGGTCAGATACATATTGAAGCATAAAATGTGAGTTCATGTGAGGGACGATGAATTGAAAGGAGGACTTATAGACTTCATGTGAACCTGAACCTACAACCACAGTATTTTTTTTAATAAAAATGCTGTGGAGGCTATTTATATGCCAATCCAGATAATTCAGTAACTTTCAATCACTTTCACCCCTAATCTCAGAGAAATCTGTGCTACAGCCTAATGAAGAGTGTGTTTTCACTACCTTGGGAATAAACAGCCATCTTTTTGCCTGTACAAAGGATACTTTTCCATCCCTGGTAAGTGGATTTCCTTGGATGTTGCTCTCCTTGACATGTCAATATGGCTTTTGCGTTGTGACTCTTTGTGGTTGGAGTCGCTGTGTTCAAAGATACACATTCACACACATACATACCCAGATCTTCTACTGGTAACATACCCATCAATTTGACCTTTTCTGCAGGTCCCTCTCCCAGAGGAAATCCAAGTGTCACCAGGTGACACAGAAATCCACCGAATGGAAGCTGAAGATGTAGCAAATCATCTGACAGCCTTCCACTGGGAACTGTTCTGGTGTGTCCATGAGGTGAGCAAACCAAACATAACTTTCCTAACTTGATCTCTTTCAGATATGTTTGGACACTGACTCCCTGGCACATCATAATATCAGCATACGAGAGCTGAATATACATTCAGGGATGCCTCAGATTCTTACCACTGTGTAATTCTATACTGTACTGAGTCTCCCCTTGAGATGCTAGATTTCTTTGGCTAGAGGAAGCTTCTCAATAGGCCTACTCAAACTTTGCAAGGAGAACTGTACTGCCTACCATTCTTAGATTTTTTTTTAAAAAAAATGAATTTTCAGAAATGGAAAAGTTTTGACTGATATTTTGCACTTCAAAATAGCAAGATGTTCTCATGACTGAATGTTTGGAAAAAGATGAGGTTAGGAGCTTGCTCTCTGACACATTGGTTATTTTTTTTACTACAGACTTAAAACAGCATACATCATCATCCAATCATCACTGAAATGCTAGCAAGTTTGCCCTCATTACAGTAATACAACACAAGATTGACTGACCTGATTTTACTTTTTTTCACAGTGGATAAACAAATGTGGTGGCCATTAAGCAAATGTCATGGTCATTAATTGAACCAGTTGTTTGCTATGGGCTAGTTTTGCCGAAATCTGGAAGTAAATACCAGTTTTCAGCAAAAACATTGTAAGATGCAGTCAAGTGATCATGAGATGCTGCAAGTGGTCATAAATGTGGCCTGGTTACTGAGCACCCAAAATGTAGTTACGTGCCTGTGGATTTAAACTTTAGAACTAGGTCATAAGTACTCCTGGGAATCCTGTAATTCTGAATGGTCACTAAGTAATCAGTTGTAAGGCGAGGACAGCCTGTATAAAGGAATATTCAGTCATTTGACTTCTACCGTTTTATGGGCTGAAGTGATCCAATATGACAACTTGGCTTTAGTTAGCCTTATCTTTTCTCCAGTTCAGTTTCTGCCTCCTTTCTCCTTGTTATGTGTGACATAGACTGATCAATGAAAGGCGTTCATGTACATGAGATGCTTAGCACCAGGATTGCAGGGTGAAGCCTTCAATCTGGGTCTCAGAAGGCCCATTGGTTACTCTCTTTCCTTTTCAATTTCTTATAGCTAGAATTTGTGGATTATGTGTTCCATGGTGAACGTGGCCGACGGGAGACTGCCAATCTAGAATTGCTGCTGCAACGCTGCAGTGAGGTTCAGCACTGGGTGGCTACTGAAGTATTACTCTGTGACTCTCTAGGAAAGCGGGCTCACTTGCTCAAGAAATTCATCAAGATTGCTGCTGTGTGAGTGCCATATTTTGGTCCTTTCTTCATAATGGGATTGCATTTAATACAGTCATAATGTCACTGATGATGATGGTTCTCCTTCTGTTACTTGACATGAGATGGCTAATGTTTCCCAAATGTTCAAAGCCCCAGGCCCTTTTTATATGTGTTGCAGGGTGATGCAAGTAAACAACAGCAGAATTCAACTGCACAGTTGTGGCTGCCATCTGGACTTTTCTGACACACAAACACACAAGTGGATGCTCTGGTTAGAAGAACATCCTGCGTTAAGGGAAATGGTTTAAAATTCAAAAAGGGGATAATTGAAAATATTCAACTTTTTTGAATTTCAAGCAGCTCCAAAGAGAGGGTCAATTAAATACTCACAAGGTTACAGGCAATCATCTTTCTCTGCAGTTACAGGCAGTTCATATCATCTTTTGGCCAACTTCCAGTTCTTTAATGAATATATTCCAATGTATTGAAATCTCTAAAATAAGAATATTGGAATTCTGAGAGGTCTGCAGAATATACTATGAAATCTTAGCTTTCCATTTTTCTCCTTTCTTGTTCTGTTCAACCATTATGTTCCTCTCTGCTTCCTTCCTGTATGGTCAGTCTACTTCCCTTCTCTGTTGGTTCCTTTCAGGTTAATGACTAAGAAGGTTGAATTTATTTCACCATCCTGGTTGGCTTTAATACCCAATGACAGTTGAGCCTTTACTCAAGCTTCCTTCCCAGATTGTTTACTAGATGAGGGGATGTTGCAGTAGAAAGGCCTAGGGCCTGGAGGAGAAGGAAAAGGTTGAACACAGCTATGAAACACACTGGGTGACAAATTATGGCCTTGGGGGATATTTTTCAGGTTAGAGATGTGCTCTAAATTCCTGGATTTGCAAAGGCTATGGTTTGGTTACAAATGATGTTTATATCTTATGGATTTCATGGAAGACAGTGTTGCCTTGTCTCTCATCATTTTCCTAGCTAGCACTTACTTTAGCATTCTGCTAATCATTTGTATAGGTTGTGTTTTACATCCCTTTAGCTGCATCTCAGCCACCATGGAGGCAGATATATTTGAATTTGGTAGTTCAGATTTTGCTGATGATAAAGTCACATCCCTTCTCATTTCCCTTGCCACCTCCTGCTTCTCTGAGCCTTGGCAGCCTATCTGGGCCCAGAAGCATGAGAAGAGAAGGTGGAGGCATTTATTTGCACCTTTTTCTCTCTCTTCATCTCCTCCTCCCCCTCTTACTCAAATGGCACTCAAGCGTGAAACCGTAGAAGATTTGACTGCAAGTAAGGTAACACAGATTTAAGGGGCATTATGTCTTATGCATATAAGTAGTAAGGTGATAGGTACAAGGGGGTATGATAGCAGCCAAGATGGCTTCTCCTATTTTACTGACTGATATCAGACTAAATTAAATTAAGAGCAGGGATGGTACCATCAGTTGAAACTGCTCAGTTTTAATATTTTTCTCGTTTGGTCCTTAGCTACCTTTTTATTTTCTCCCCACAGATGTAAACAGCATCAGGACATGTTAACATTCTATGCTGTGGTTATAGGACTGAACAATGCACCTGTCAGTCGTTTACGCCTCACCTGGGAGGTAAGATGATAATGAAGAGAAATGGACTTTTGTGTATTTGTAATCTCAGTTACTTCTTTTTCTCTCATACACACTGTTTTTTCACCCAAATTTGCAGTTAAACTTTTATATTTCTAAAACATTTCAAATGGCCAAGGATGGGCAATATAACATTTTAAAATTTTAATGCATCCTGGCAAATTCTCATTATACCAGTATCATCTTAAAAACAATTGAAAACTACTGAACATTAGATCCAGATTACATCCATAATTCATTATCACTGGAATAGATGCATTTCAGTTGGACAAATCAGAAGTATTTCCTTTGTTTCAATTGGTTCATTTTATGGGATCTTTGCTTACTTGTCTCTAATCATGTCACAAAGATTCTTTAGCAACACTCTTTTTGTGCTAAATCCTAGGACATTGCCTTCATCTCATTGGGAATTGTAGTTATGCAGGTATTACATTCCAGCACTATCCAAGGTCCATTTCATGGTGTGAAATCTATTAGGCTTGTTTTTTTTTACTCATCACTGTAAAGAGAAATCAAGTAATTCCAGTGACTTGGAAGCAGGATCAGAGTCAATAATAAAAAGAGCAGATTTCATGACGCTGGTATAATTTTTTGTAAATTCAAAATGGTTGAATAACACTTCAGCTCACCATTGAAAGGTCTTTTGAAAGATTAGCAGTGGTTCACTTCTTGTTATGATTTACTATGACCATAGTTCTCATTTTTAAAACTATAGTTTATGATTTAGGGCAGGCTGCAGGAGCTGAATCTGCACAATATAGCAAGCCAGAATCAAACCAAGTTCTTTTGGACTTCATGTGATATATGAAATCCAGTTTATCTGGCTCTAATACATGAAAAGCAAAATAAAAACGTAACAATTACCCCTAGGAATCAGGGAACAAGTTTCTCTGATTAGGAAGATGTAGGATTATCAAAGAAGTATTTCTTCATCCTTTACTTAGATAATGTTTGAAGTTAGAAAGAAGTTTCATGGAATTTCTAAGAAACTACAAGGAAGTATATCCCAATGTATTCCATGGAATTTGCTTCTGAATAAAGCTGTGAGGACTGGGTTGCAAACCAAGGTACAAACCAAGACCACACCTGGAATACTGCAACCAATTTTGGTTACCATACTACAAAAAAGATGTTGAGATTTTGGAAAAAGTTCAGAGAAGAGTAACTAAGATGATCAAAGGCCTGGAGACTAAAACATATGAAGAATGGCTGCAGGATTTGGGTTTGGCTAGTCTAAAGAAAAGAAGAATTAGAATTGATATGATAGCAGTATTTCAGTATTTGAGGGGCTGCCACAAAGAAGAGGGGGTCAAATTATTTTCCAAAGCACCAGAGGACAGCACAAGAAACTGACAAATGGTTGGAAACTAATCAAAGAGAGAAGCAACCTGGAATTAAGGAGAAACTTCATAACAGTGAGGACAATTAACCAGTGGAACAGCTTGCCTTCAGAAATCGTGGGCATTCCATCACTGGAGGTTTTTAAGAAGAGACTAGACAGTCACTTATCTGAAATGGTATAGGTCTCCTGCTTGAGCAGGAGACTGGACTAGAAGATCTCCAAGGTCCCTTCCAGCTAATTCTATTCTTTCCGTTCCAATATCTACCTACATATCTATATTAATTTAGCCTAGAAATAATCCAGAGGGTGTGTGTTACAGCATACAAATCAATCAGTCAATCAGTCAATCAATTAATCAATCAGTATATAAGATTTGTTTACCTATACTATCTATATCTCACAACTAATATTTTGAGGTATGCATTTTTTTTTAACCATTTGATAAACCAGGATAGCTGGTACCACAGAAAGAAGTAAGGTAACTAGTTGCTTATAATGCTTTCTTTCCATCTCTGTGAAGTATGAATTTTATCTTTTTATTTCCAACTCAATGGAATGCTAGGCAGAAATTATGTAAAGAGGGTCAAGACTCTATTTATCAAGAAGGTAAGTCTTCCAAAACTGAACATAAGAGCCCAAATTCAAGTGGGGAAAAAAAGAAAGACTGAGTTCACAAATAGTCCGATGTGGCATTACAGGAGAAAAATGATCCTGAAAAATTCCCTCAAAGCATTTCAATGGCAATAGCAATAGCAATAGCACTTATATACCGCTTCACAGTGCTTTACTGCCCTCTCTGAGCAGTTTACAGAGTTAGCATATTGCCCCAACAATCTGGCTCCTCATGTTACTGACCTTGGAAGAATGGAAAGCTGAGACAACCTTGAGCCGGTGAGACTTGAACTGCCAAACTGCTGGCAGCTGGGGATCAGCAGAAGTAGCCTGCAGTACTACATTCTAATCACTGCGCCACCGCAGCTCTGTTTGGAATCTTCCTGACTCCTCCATTCTATATTCCTCCCCCTTCCTGGCCATGTGACCCAGATTCTAACCCCTTTTTATAGAGCGATTACAATACTGACTTGAAAGATTAAAATTAGGTTTGTTTATAATAGTATTTTTCAAACTTGACAATTTTAAGATGCATGGCCTTCAACTCCCAGTTTTTCATTCATTCATTCATTCATTCATTCATTCATTCATTCTATTCAGTCAGTGACTAGACAACAAAACAAAATAATAAAAGGGGGAATAAAAGATAAATATAATCCGGATTGACAGACAGAAATGAGTAAATTATAAATTGGCAATGATAAAGTATATCAAATATGATACTCTGAACATCTTTATTACAATATATGACTTCTAAAAATATGGTCAACACTAAAATATATGTCTTCTAAAAATTATTAACAGATAAAAACATGTTGATAAAAATAAAAGTCTTTACTTCTTTAACCGGTTTTACCTTATCTTTGCAGCAGTACAAAATTTGGCCACTGTACGTGTAATGGCTGGAATCTTGGAGAAGATGGTTCATATAGAAATTATCTGCCTCCCTAGAAATCTTTCTAATAGAGGGAGGATATATGTCTAATATCTCTGTAAAATTTGTAGTGTAATAACATATGTGAGATGTTTTTAACTTTCTTATTACCATATGTACACGTTCATTCCGCTGTGGGTGTTTTATTATATCTGCCTTGCAAAATTGCAGAGGGTAGAATATTAAATCTATCTCTACAAAATACTATTCTGCTGTTAGGAAAAGTTAGGTCTTTCCGGTAGCCCATTTATTCCATCTAATCCAATTTTTGATGTGGAAAGCAGGGGTAAAATCCAGCAGGTTCTGGAGAACCGGTAGTGGAAATTTTAAGTAATTCAGAGACCGGTAGCGGAAATTTTGAGCAGTTCGGAGAACCGGTAGCGGAAATTTTGAGTAGTTCAGAGAACCGGCAATACCACCTCTGGCTGGCCCCATAGTGGTGTGGGAATGGAGATTTTGCAATATCCTTTCCCCAGGAGTGGGGAGGGAATGGGGATTTTGCAATATCCTTCCCCTGGAGTGGGGTGGGAATGGAGATTTTTCAGTATCCTTCCCCTGCCACGCCCACCAAGCCACGCCCACCAAGCCACATCACACCCACCAAGCCATGCCCACAGAACCAGTAGTAAAAAAATTTGGATTTCACCATTGGAAAGGTATCTTATTAACATCTAGCTAAAATTCCATGTCTCTTATTCTGTTGGTAACCAATTACTTGGCTTGATCATAGCCTAATGAGATTAAAAAAATGGGAAAAGCCCATATAAGGGCAGCTTGTGTACTATCGCTTGTTTCCAGGGAGAGGAGAAGTTATCTAATCAGGACTGGAGCGGCCAAGCAGGAAGGATTGAATTTTCAGCCACTAAACTATCATCATCTTCCAGGCCCTAACCTGAATTTAAGGCATTTCTGTCTCAATTC